CCTTGGCCTGCTGTGTTCATCCAGCTCTACACCTTGGTATCTCATTGGATGGGAGGTTGGCTTGCGTGATAGACTGGGCTGAATACACAACTTTGAAGAGGAGTGTGTTCACAAATTGTGTTCAGAAATGTGAAGTGGAGAGAGCTATCGTACATCTTCATCCTGCGCTGCTAGTTAATTTAATCATGACTGATCTTCCATCTCCCACCAATCTCCCCGTATTCTTTGATATCCTCACAGTCCAAAATCAATCGATCTGTTCTTCAATACAGCACTGGGGGAGAGAATTCCAAAGGTTCACAATTCTCTGAGTGAAAGAATTTATCAATCTTTGTCCCATTCCCAAATGAGAGTGCCCTTAGCCTGAGACTATGACTCCCCAACCAGGGGAAACAGTCTCTCTCCACCCATGAAGCACTCTAACAGCTTCAATATGTTTCAATGAAACCTCACTCAGATGTATTGTCAGTTTCTGCTCTTAACTATATCTGGTTCACCCACCCACCCACCCATCCCACCCCATTCCTTCCTTCAGTTTCCCTCCTGTGATGAACAGCCAAGTTGTAATGTAGGAAACACAGCAGCCAAGGCTCACATAGCAGGATCCCACAATGATATGAAAGGCCATCAAATCTGTTTCTTGCTAATAGGTCTCTATCCATTCAGTTGAGATGCACTTGCACTGAAAGACCCACAGGTAGAGATACCTTTACATTGCTTCCCAATTGTTCCATCTTCATCCAACTTTCTCACATTGTGAGACTGTTTTCCCTGTCTAAACACGAGGACACAGCTGATCAACCTTGGGGTGCTTCATCAGACTGGCTCAATTTCTTCATCAATTTGAATGTAATGAAAGTAAATTCAGCACAGAAGCAAAGACAGGTTCAAAAAAAATAAACACAGGGAGGATATGAACAAGATACAGGCAGAAAGAGTAAAGAGAGAGATACACAGACACAGAGAGAAGGACACAGATTGAAACAGTGTAAAAGAAACAGTGACAGAGAAGGACACAGATTGAAACAGTGTAATAGAGACAGTGAGAGAGAAGGACACAGATTAAGGCAAAGAGAGATAGTGACAGAAGGATCCAGACTGAGGCAGAAAGAGAGAGACAATAAGGGAGAACGACACACAGAAACTCGAAGACCCTGAGAGAGAAAAAGGAACACAGAGCAAAAATTGGCAGAGAGATGCCAACTGAAGACAGACACACAAAGGCAGAATTTGTGAGGGAAGGAATGACAAACAGACCATCGAAACAGAAAGAAACTCATGCAGAAGTACAGGCAGTCTGAAATATAAGATCAGGGATCGAATTGTCGCAAATGAGATGGAATAAATCTTGTATCCTGTAGCCAATACAAACAGTGATGTGTTTTTTTAAGATGGTTTCTGATGGGACGGACTATTTGCTCACAGTTTTGTACTTCAGTCAGTGTGGTACCCTTGAAGAATGTAACTGGATCATTCCTTTGTCCAACTGATTGTTTATCCAACACAATTAAACTTTCCGGATAAAAGTCTTTTCACTAGTTCACCCTGAGTCATGTCACTCTCTCTGACACCTCATGATTCATCCCAACAGCTTTTCTGAACAGTTTTGGCAAGGCCCCAAAGTTCTGGTTCCGGATGCTCACTGTGTCCCTCAAACACAAAGCAGAATGATCTCACTAACCATACCGAGAGCTACCAGTACTCTGGGAAGAGGGGACTGAGAGAAGGGTGAGAAGATTGGCTTATATTCTGTGGAGTTTAGAGGAATAAGAGACAGTCTCATTGAATTTTATTAAGCTCTAAAGGGTCCTGATAGTGTGAATGATGAGAAAGGAAATATTTCCCTGGTAAGGAATTTTCAGCACGGAGGCCCGGAGCTTGATTCTCATGGATTCAGGGAAATTCCTTTAAAAGGCATGAGATGGTTAGTTGAGGAATGGCAGCAATGTTCCCTGGAAACCATGCAGCCCCCCACCATTCTGGCACCTTGGAGTTCTACACAACAGGAGCATGGTGGGTGGGGCGAGCAGTGTGTGTGCTTGGTGAGGGCAGGGCTGGGCGGTGATTTGGGGTGCGGGCAGGACAAGGGGGCAGGGTGGTGGGTAGGGCCGAGGGGGTAGGGAAGGGTTGTGGATGCGGTGACTGGAGGAGTGGGTGGACAAGTGCAGAGTTGGCAGTAAAAACCGAAAGAACTGAGGATGCTGTAAATCAGGTACAAAAACAGAAGTTGCTGGAAAAGCTCAGCAGGTCTGGTGGCATCTGTGAAGAAAAAAAAATCAGAGTTAACATTTCAGGTCCGGTGACCCTTCCTCAAGGAGATGCTGTGAGACCTGCTGAGCTTTTCCAGCAACTTCTGTTTTTGTTGCAGAGTTGGCAGTGGTGTATGGGCAGGGTGAGGGGAGGTTGAGAGGAGAAGGGGGTGAGGTGGGGTGTGGGCACGGCTTGAGGATATTTGCTGTTTCATTGTAACGCATTCGCAAAGTCTCAAAGCCCCCAGATGGGCTTTTAAACAGCATCCCCACACAAAAACTCCCATCCTCCCTCCCTATAGTGCACTGCACCGCACCCACCACATCCTCACTCCAACCACCACACACCTCCCCACCACACCCTAACCACCACAAAGCCTCCTCCCCTCCCCACCTGTCTCCCCACCCCACCACAGCCCAACACAGCTTCCGCCACTCACTCCCTGAACCCCATCACATCCACTTAGCCCCAGCCCTCCTCTACGCCACTCCACTGCACCTTCATCCCTCTCTCACATACCCTTACCTTCTATACCCCCTCCTTACCCGCCCTCCCACAGCCCTCCCTTACCCACCCTTACCTTCCCTCCCAGTCCCTCTCGTCAGCCAGACAACTCTGTTTGCCATCTCTGTTTGGATGAACCCTTGGAGGCCTCTTGGCCTCTCTCCTTGCCCCTAGACTGGGTCAGAGCGAGAACTGCTTTTGCTCCTTTGAAACGTTGGTGCCAGTTTTGACTGACTGTGTTTGTAAAGTTTTTGCTGGTCTTCATGAACGAAGGCTCCAACAGGATTATAGTTTGACACTTCCCAAGAGGTATGGTACACTTGCCCGTCTATCAGGATGTAGACAGCAATGTGAGGGTCTGTGTCAGCTAAAGGAGGGTGCCGCCTCGGGGGGCTACCCACTGTGGCTAAACAGCTGACACACAACTGCACGAAAAGAATCGTTCCAGTGACTCATTCCGCCCTCTCTTTGGCAGGCTTTTCCTGAAAGGATACAGTGGAACAGCAGGACGTCAGAGCAGCCTGGCTCTTCATGGAGCAAGTTTCAGCACCAGAGATGCGGACCATGACAATTGCCACTGCAAGTGTGCCCTGATGTTAACTGGAGGTAAGGGGGGAGCGGGGAGTTAGAATGCAATTACTATTCACATGCCCCTTACTGCTAATGACCAGCTTCCCCATTTCTTGTTACATATTTAAGATCGGAGCGGAGAGATTTTTGGAAAGCCTTCAATCTTACGTACTCACCAGAAATAGCTTTGTGAGAGGGAAGTCGGTTAGTCCTCTGCCTAACCATTATGGTAATGGGATAAGCCACAGAATCACAATACCACACCCAACATTACAGCTTCCTAGAAAATTCCCAGTTCCACTGATGGAACAGGTGACACACATGGCTTGTTTTTCCATCCTTCCAGGGATATGGGCATCTCTGGCTGGCCCAGCATTTATTGCCCATCCCTAGCTGACCTTGAGAAGGGGATGGTGAGCTGCATCCTTGAACTGCTGCAGTAGGTAGATGCACAATGTCCCCAGGAAGGGAATTCCAGGATTTGACCCAGTTCCATTGAAGGAACAGTGGTATATTTCCAAGTCAGGATGTTGAGTGATTTGGAGGGGAATTTGCAGATGGTGGTGTCTCATTGTATCTGCTGCCCCTGTCCTTCTGGTTGGTGGAGGTGATATTTGGGGCATTTATCTCTCAACTAACATCAATGAATGTCATTTCCATGTTGCTAGTGGGAGCTTGCTGTGTGCAAATTGACTGCCATATTTCCTGCATTACAACAGCAACTTGATAGCCCTTGACATCAAGACCGCATTCAACTGGATCAAGGAGGCCTCGCAAAACTGGATCAATTTCATTGCCTTTCATTGATTGATTGTTGTCACATGGACTGAGATGCAGTGAAAAGTGTTGTTTTGCGTGCTCTACAGGCAGATCATATCATACAAGGGTAGCAGAACAGAGTGCAGAATACAGCTTTACAGCCCCAGAGAAAGTGCAGAGAGAGAGAGAGATCAGAATTAACAGTTGAGAGGTCTGTTCAAAAGTCTGATAACAGCAGGGAAGAAGTTTTTCTTGAATCTGTTTGTATGTGTATTCAAACTTTTATAACCTCTGTCTGACAGAAGAGGGTGGAAGAGAGTATAACCAGGGTGGGAGGTATCTGAATATATTGGTTGCTTTCTCAAGGCAGCAGGAAGTGTAGATGGAGTCAATGGATGGAATGCTGTTTTTTGTGTGGACTGGGCTGTGTTTTCGACCCTCTGTAGTTTCTTGCAGTTTTGGGAAGAGCAGTTGCCATACCAGGCTGTGATGGATCCAGCTGGAATGCTTTCCATGGTGCATCTATAAAAATTGATAAGAGTCATTTTGGACATGTCGAATTTCCTTAGCCTTCTGAGGCAGTAGAGATGTTGTTGTACTTTCTTGACCAATGGTCAATGTGGGTGGACCAGGACAGATTTTTGGTGATCTTCACTTCCAAGAACTTGACACTCTTGACCATCTCCACCTCAGCACCACTGATGCAGACAGAGATGTGCCCTCCACTCTGCTTCCTGAAATCAATGACCAGCTCCTTCATTTGCTTATGTTGATGGAGAGATTGCTGCCTTTACACCAATCTCTTACACTCAATCTCTTTCTTGTGCTCTGTCTTGTCATTGTTTGACATCAACAGTGGTATTGTCAGCAAACTTGTAAATGGAGTTCAGGTGGAATTGGGCCACACAGTCATGGGTGTATAAGGACTATAGTAGGGGGCTGAGTACCCAGCCTTGTGGGGCACTGGTGTTAGGATTATGGTGGAGAAGGTGTCGCCTGTTCTTACTGATTGTGGTCTCTGGTTCAGGAAATCAAGGATCCAGTGACAGAGTGGGGAGCCAAGACATAGGTCGCGGAGTTTAGGGATGAGTTCGTTTGGAATTATTGTGTTGAAGGCGGAGCTGTAATTAATACATAGGAGCCTGATGTAGGTATCCTTGTCATCCAGATGTTCCAGGGATGAGCATAGGGTCGGGGAGATGGCGTCTGCTGTGGACCTGTTGCACTGGTAGGCAAACTGCAAAGAATCAAGACAATTTAGTAGTCTGGAGTTGATGTGAGCCATGACTAATCTCTCGAAGCACTCCATAATCATGGAGGTCAAAGCCACCGGGTGATAATCATTGAGGCATGTTGCATGATTTTTGACTGGGATGGTGGTGGCCTTTGGAAGCAGGTGGGTACTTCAGAATGTAGGAAGGAGAGGTTAAAGATGTGTGCGAATACTGCGGCCAGCTGGTCCACACAAGTTCTGAGTGCATGGCCGGGGACTGCCTCTGGGCCAGTCGCTTTCTGTGGGCTCACTCTCAAGAAGGCTGATCTAACGTCTGCGGTGGTTACCATGGATACAGGTGCATCTGAGTCTTTTGGAATAGGTGATGTTGTTTCACTGCCCTTCTTTTCAAAGCAAGTGTTGAATGCATTGAGTTGTCGGGTAGGAATGTACTGTTGTCAGTGATTGTACTCGACATTGCTTTGTAGCTCATAATGTCATTTAAGCTTTGACACAAACCATGGCTGTCTGTGTGGTTGGTCAAACTTAGTTTGGTATTGCCTCTTGGCATCTCTGATGGCCTTACGAAGGTCATACCTGGATTTCCTGTATAGGTCAGGGTTGCCCAACGTGAAACTGCCTCAGACATGGACCTCAGTAGGGAGTGGGTCTCCAGTTCATCCATGGTTTCTGCTTGGGGAACATTTGGATTAACCTCTTCGGCGCGCAATCTTCTACACACTTACTGATGATGTCTGTGACGGTAGTGGCCTTTTCGTTTAGGTTAGCCACAGAGTTCTTGAATATGGGTGAGTCCACCGACGCTAAGCAGTCCCATAGAAGCCCTTCTGTCGCCTCAGGCCAACACTGCACTATTTTCTGTACTGGGTGCTCACGCTTCAATTTCTACTTGTAAGCTGGTAGGAGGAGCGCAGCGGGTACAACGGGTACCTGAAGGCAGACTCTCTGCTGGTTGGAGTCACACCTGGCACATATGAAAATGGTTGTTGTTGGAGGTCAGTCATCTCAGCTCCAGAACATCGCTGCAGGAGTTCTTCAGGGTAGTGTCCTAGGCCCCAACCATCTTCAGTTGCTCCATCAATAACCTTCCCTCCATCATAAGGTCAGAGGTGGGGATGTCCACCGATGATTGCAAAATGTTCAGCACCTTTCACAGCTTCTCAGCCCATGTTCAAATGCAACAACAGTGGTTTACAAACTCATGAGGTACATGGATCGGGTGAACAGCCAAGGCCTTTCTCCCAGAGTAGGGGAGTCCAAAACGTGAGGGCATAGGTTTAAGGTGAGAGAGGAAAGATTTAAAAGGGACCTGAGAGGCAACTTTTTCACCAGAGGGTGGTGCATGGATGGATCGATCTGCCACAGGAAGTGGTGGAGGCTGGTACAATTACAACATTTAAAAGTCGTTTGGATGGGTATATGAATAAGAAGGGTTGTGAGGGATATGGGCCAAACGCTGGCAAATGGGAGTAGTTCAGTTTAGGATATCTGGTCAGCACAGATGAGATGGGTCAAATGCTCTGTTTCCGTGCTGTGTAACTCTATGACTAACATAAACAAACAGCAATACTGCACAGGAATAGGCCCTTCGGCCCTCTAAGCCTGTGCTGACACATTTTGCCCTTCCATACTAAAACTGTCTTCACTTACAGGATCCGCATCCCTCTATTCCCTTCCTATTCATGTGTTCGTCCAGGTGTTTCTTGAATGTTGCTATTGTGTCTGCTTCCACCACCTTCCTCTGGCAGCACGTTCCAGGCACTCACCATCCTTTGTGTGAAAAACATGCCCCGTACATCTCTTTTAAAACTCCCTCCCTCGCACCTTGAACCTGTGTCCCTAGTAATTGACCCCTCTACTCTGGGAAAAAGCCTCATACTTTCCACTATATCCATGCCATTCACAATCTTGTAAACTTCTATCAGGTTGCCCCTCAACTTCCTACATTCCAGTGAAAACAAACTCAGTCTATTCAAACTTTCATCATAGCTAAATCCCTCATACCAGGCATCATCCTGGTAAATCTTTTCCATACCCTCTCCAAAGCATCCACATCTTTCTGGTATTGTGGTGACCAGAGCTGTACACAATATTCCAAGTGTGGACTAACTAAAGTTCTATAAAGCTGCAGCAGAACTTGTCTATCCTTGCATTTAATGCCCCTTCCAATGAAGGTAAGCATGCCATAGGCCTTTTTTACTACCTTATCTACCTACGCTGCCACCTTCAGTGATCTGTGGACCTGCACACCCAGAACCTTCTGTGTATCAATATTCCTAAGGGTTCTGCCATTCACTGTATAATTTCCACCTGTACTTGACCTTCCAAAATGCATCACCTCACATTTGTCCAGATTAAACTCCATCTGCCATTTTTCTGCCCACACCTCCAACTGATCTATTTTCTGCTGTATCCTCTGACAATCCTCCTCACTATCCGCAACTCCACCAATCATCCACAAACTTACTAATTATACCAGCTACGTTTTCCTCCAAATCCTTTATGTAGACCACAAACAGCAGAGGAACCAGCACTGATCCCTGTGGAACACCACTAGTCACAGTCCTCCATTTCAAAAAGCATCCTTCCACCGCTGCCCTGTCTCCTAAGCCAGTTCTGTATCCATCTTGCCAGCTCACCCATGATGCCATGTGGCTTCACCTTTTATACCAGTCTGCCATGAGGGGCCTTGTCAAAGGCTTTACTGAAGTTCATGTAGACAACATCAACTGCTTTTCCCTCATCAATCGTCTTTGTCACCTCTTCAAAAAATTCAATCAAGTTAGCGAGGCACGACCCCCCCCCCACACAAAACTATGCTGTTTATCGCTAATCAGTCCATTTGCTTCTAAATGCTTATAGACCTTGTCATGAGAATCTTTTCCAATAGTTTTCCCACCACTGACGTGAGGCTCGCAGGCCTGTAATTTCCTGGATTATCCCTGTTACCTTTTTTAAACAATGGGACAACATTTGCTATTCTTCAGTTCTCTGGCCCCTCACCTATGGCCAAAGACAATAAAAAAATGTCTGTCAAAGATGT